TGGGCGGCCTCCCTTGAGCCTGCGCCTGGGCCCCAGTACCTGTACCCAGGCGGCCAGGCCCAATGCGGTTGGGGCCCACGTATTACAGTTGCGCCCTTTCATCAAGGCCTGCGTCCAGATTCAGATAGTGGACCGGTTTCCCATTGGCATTTTCGGCCTCTATGTCCAACATGCAATGTCGGCCTCACGTTTATGCACCCAGGGCCTAACCAATTTTGGGGCCCTGGTCCTTCTGCATTTGCAAAGATCTGGTACTCGGTGCACTCCAACCAACTGACGTGCGGCAACTGTATGGACCCCACTTGGTGAAATGTTGAGAAAAAGGGGCTCTCGTTGATTTGCTGGCCCACCTTCACTTAGGGCGGGCACGAGGCTTGCTGGGGGTCTTTGTCAGAAACATATGCATGTCGGCAGGGCCCCGTTGAGGGCTCAATTCTCACATTCCATCCCCCTTAGCTTCGAAAGTCCGCTGAGATGCTTACTTCGCAGGTGCCTTCCCCTTTAACATCCTTTCATATTATGCTACCACTTGAGGAGCTGTATCAATCAGTTCCTCTCTGGTGAACCACCGATCTTCTTTCGGATGCGTATGATGCCTGAATCTGACACGATACTCTCTCTTGGGTTTTGGAGGTCTCCCTCGACCCAATGGCTTTGGAACAGACATGTCTCTGTGATCCACAATGTCGTCGATGTCCACGTGGCCATCCATGGTTGGGGGCAGCATTGATCTCCTTGAGGGAAATTGGTCTGTCTCAGCGAAAGGTGCAAGCTTTGAGGCATGAAAGACAGGGCAAGTGCGCAAGTGTCCAGGGATTAGGATAACGTACGAGGGACCATCCAAATCAGTACCTACTACATCCAATACTTCCCAAGGACCAAAATATTGTGGCATTAGTTTTCTAGAGATGCCGAACTCCTGTCCTAGCTCACTAGCCCTTTACCCAGACACGTTCCCCTACCTGAAATGTGGACTGTCGACAATGTTGGTTCTCAAAAGCAATCATTGCTTCCTGAGATTTCTTGATGTGCTCGACAGCTTGCTGCAGCAACTTCTCATTATGGACACCATATTCCATGGTTCCAGGGGTTGCAGCAGGTCGGTTTTCAGGCAGGAGGAAGTCCAGAGCAGATCTAGGCTTCCATCCCAAGTGCAGCTGATTTGGACTGACGCAAGTAGCGTTGTGCACGACGTTGTTGTACAGGCTGGCGATGAGAGGCAATTTCTCATCCCAGTCATCCTGGATGGGCTTTATGTAATGCCTCAGCAGATGCTGCACAACCCGGTTCATCTGTTCGGCCTGTCCGTTAGCTTAAGGATGATTCCCTGAAGTCATCTGAAGTTGACTGCCCATCTGTTCAGCAGTCTTCTTCCACAACTCACTTGTAAAGCGGACATCTCTATCACTAACGATAGTCTTAGGCAGCCCAAAGTCACGCACCCAGTTGTCCATAAACAACTTGATGACGTGCTCAGTCCTTGTTGTTTCCGGCATAGCTATTAGTCGGACATACTTGGTAAACCTGTCAACTATGACGAATATATGTCTCTTCCCACTCCTGCTGGTCACCAGGGTGTCCATGAAGTCCATGGAGACACTCTGTCCCGGACCAGCGGGAATGGGCAAAGGCTTCAACAATCCAAGCGGTGCTTGAGTACGCGGTTTATCCCGCTGACAGATTTGGCAAGTCTGTACATACTTCTTAGCATCGTCTAGGATGTTGGGCCACCAGAATCGCTGTATCGGATTAGCGCTTGTCTTCTTGTAGCCAAAGTGCCCGGTTGCGTCGTGACATTCCCCTAAAAATAAACTACGCAAACGTTCACTAGATGGATTAACTAACCTTTTGAACCCGGCCTTTTCAAGAAAGAGTAGCCCGTCCACCATCACAAACTCTTCTTCTGTGGCCTTATCTTTCGCCTGCAGTTTGCGTATGATGTCCATCGTGACAGGGTCTTCCTGATAGGCTCCCACCAGCGATTGAATTTTTTTTATTTTTTTTTTTAAAGCTCCAGTTTATTCGTGGGAAGCAGCACGTGCTGGGAACCGGGCCCAGCGTCCCATATGAACATACATCAGTTTGTAACACCGGGGCCATTACCCGACTTCAGCTGAGAAAAACCTGAGAATAGAGTGCTTCAAGCTCTTACGAAATCAGAAACCTTCGAAAATTCTAATGTTGATGATACTAATGATACTAGTGATGATGACCAAGGAATATAGCTACTCATGCTAAGTCAACCATACTGGACTCCTAATCCTGAACAACTCCAAGCCCTCCCTTACCAGGATATTGCAACTCAGGAACAAGACAAACCTATCCCCCCACTGCCATAGCTGATCTCTTCTCACTACCCAGACTAACCCCACCCCATAAGTTGTCAAGGTAATCCCCCCTGGTTCACCATTGGCTTGCTTTCCTCCCTCAACAAACCCCAGATCTCTCTACAAGGCCTCCCACCCCTGCCAATTGCAGGTTACAGGGCTATGCCAGCGTTGTTCTGGCATCGGCAATCCAGGAGCACAAAACAAAGCAACTTCAGCAGTTGTCAGTCTAGGTTCGACAATCCCTGAATTCCTATATCCTAATTAAAGAAGAAGACCAGGTGCTGCCAAGATTGTAAAGCGGCGGATGGCTGGTTTTAAAGTATTGAACTGTATCGAAATTATCAGATCTTTTTTGACACATTGAGTTTATTAGATCATGAAAAGGATACGCTTCAATTGATCACAGCTCAAACCAATCCATACCCACTGTACCCTATCTCATGCTGCCTCCACCGAGGAAAATCCCTCGGCCCCAACATAGAACAGATCCCCTCCCCTCCCTCCACCTCATCCGCGAAGGCAACCAATCCCCTCCTAAAGGCTGCCTTTGCCCACCCCTTGTCCCTGTCTGCCCCCGCTGGGGTTGAAGGCGACCTACTCTCCAACCCTGGCCCCGGACTCAGACAATCCCCAATCTGCCCTACTCCCAATAGGGCTACTGCCTCCCACCATGCAACACCCCTGTAGAATAAGGCTCCCCTATAACAGACCCTTGGGTTAATTTTTCGGGGACGGCTAACTAGAAGTCTATACCCACAACTGGCCAGCCCTATCTCTCCTTCCCCTAGCTTCCCCAAGGCCAGGCGGAGCCCAGGTTGACAGTCCTACCATCCTTCCCCTGGCTTGTCCCCTAACTTAGGTCAGACGGATCTCAGACCTGTTGTGGGTAACTACCGTATGTCTGTACCCTGGAGTCTAAAAAAAACCCTGCCTACCAAAGTTCCAGCCATAACCTCCGAAGTCCTATCCCCACTAAAGCGTCTGCAAAATTCAATGATAAAAATCCCCAATTAGGAAAAAAAACTCATGAAAAAACGAAATAAAGAAAATTCACCTTACCCCAATCAGGGGGAACAGGCAGGGCAAAACCTAATGGTGAAATTACTAAACAATCCCAACATGAAAACGTTATGTCTGAAATTACTACTACAAATAGTAGTAATCAAGAAGTAAGTAATCAAGAAGTAGGTAATCTAGATATAGGTAATCAAGATATAGCTAATCAAGATGTAAATATTAATGACTATTGGATAATTGGGTAGCCGAAAACGGTACCCTGAGACTAAAGGTTTTCAGATGATATTAATATTGATGATGGTAGTGATGATGATGGAAATGTTATAGATGACTATTTGAGTGAAACAGTAGCCTAAAGATAGTGGTGGCGATCAACTTCGCCTACAGATGATAGCTGTGAGGATAATAGTGTTGGTGATCGTGATACAACAGATGATAGCTATGAGGATAATAGTGCTGATGATCATGATACTACAGATGGTGAAAATCACTATAGTAATGACTAAACACCCATAGAGATGTAATGATGATGAGGACGTCAACTAGTTATCCATTATGTTGATGACGATCGCCTTGCCGCAAGTGATGATAACTAGTAATCTTGATGACGACTTGCTGATAGTGTTGACGAACTCGAGCTTGATGACGGACTGCGCTCCATGTTGTGATACCTCCGATCTGCAAGCTTGACGTACTTCAGACTATGAATTACACACTTCCATGTCACCTTGGGCTATCTCCACTGCGATCTCCCTCAAGCGCCTTGTTGCCACTTCACCTTGCTACGTGGCGGCGCGGGAATCTTGCGTGAACCCCGTGAAACGGGGCGGTTCCCTGGACACGTCAACCAGTGACGTGGCGAAGACCAGGACCTAGGATCACGGCGCGTGTGCTAGGCGCAGTCCCCTGCCCCCGTCGTCCTCATCGCCCGACACACTCAAATTTCATGGCGCGCCCAAAATCTTCGATATATCATGATCCACTAGACCATTGATCTGAAATTTGGACCACGTCAGCTCCTCGACATAGACCACTGGTGGTCCAATTTTCAGTTCAGGGCGCGCGCCCAATCGCACCCAATCGTCGAGCGCGCGCGTGCTATTTTCCTTGTTGCGTGCAGTTTTCCAGCGCGCACGGCTCCTCTCCGTGGCGGCAACCTTGATTGATGATTGATGCTGTCGGGGCGCAGCGCTCCCGGTAGCGCTGAGTTACATCTTCAGATATGCCAAATTCGGAAACTAGCGCCTCTAGGTAGTCTGCCCTACGTGACAGCGCATCTGCAACCTTATTGTACTCTCCCTTCAGATACTCCAGCTTGAAGTCATACTGATCTATGACCTCAATCCAGCGCTTGAGTGCATCAGAAAGAGCCAGTTGAGTCTTGATCCATTTGAGGGTCTGATGGTCAGTTCTCAAGTAGAAAAACCGCCCCAACAGAAAGTGCCTCCAATGGACAAGTGCCTTGTAGAGGGCATAGAGTTCCCTTTCGTAGGTGGACTTTGTCAGTTTCTTTGATGGCATTTTCTTGCTCATTTACTCAATTGGTCTCAACTTCTTCGCATCCTGCTGAGCCAGCACTACACCAATGCCATATTGGCTTGCGTCAGTGGTCACAATGAAAGGCTTCTGAGGATCGGGCACCATGAGAACCTCGTGATTCGTGAGTGCATGCTTCAATCGTTTGAAATCAGCCTCGCACTCATCACTCCAGTCCCACGGTGTGTCAAGTCGAGTGAGATTAGTCAAAGGAGAGGCGATTGTAGAGTAATTCTTTAGGAAGTTTCTATAGTAACCACGCATTCCTAAGAAAGATCTGACCTCAGTCACTGTCTGAAGTCGTGGCCAGTCCCTTATACTAGCCACCTTCGCATCTTCCGGCCTAATCCTTCCGCGGATACCTCATGACCCAAGTACAAGATCCTAGTGCGTCCAAACTCACATTTCTCTAGGTTGACCTTATACTTGTGCTGTCGTAGGAGTGATAGTACAGTCTCTACGTGTTGTGCATGCTCCTCGACAGACTTACTAACGATGAGAATATCGTCAAGGTACACGACAACAAACTTATCTAAGTAGTCATGGAAGATCCTATTCATGGCGTGCTGGAATGTACCCGGTGCATTGCAAAGGCGAAAGGGCATCACTACAAACTCATACAGACCGTATCTGGTCTGAAATGCATTTTTCTGGTGATCCTCAGGTCTTATAGCAATCTGATGGTAGCCAAACTTTAAGTCTATCTTGTTGTAGTACTTACATCCCTGCACCCTATCCAATAGGTCGTCTATGCGAGGTAGAGGCTCAGCGTTCTTCACAGTGATGGCATTGAGGCCTCTGTAATCAATGCACATCCTCAGCGATCCCTCCTTCTTCGGTACAAACAGCACTGGCGATCCGAAGGGGGAAGTGCTAGACCGTATCCAACCCTTTTTTGTCAGCTCTTTCAGTTGTCGCCGGAGTTCGTCCAACTCAGCCGGAGCCATCCTATAGATCCTTTCCTTTGGGGTTTTACTCCCTGGAATTATTTCTATGGCGTGGACAATCTCCCTGTCTACGACTCCTGTGGGCTCCTCGAACAGATCAGGGAACTTAGTAACGACGTTCTCTATCTCTGGGGGTGTTTTAACGGCCTTCCCTTTCTCGGAGACATAGACTAGGTACATACCCTCCTCTTGGTTCTGTTTATAGTAGTTGTAAAACACTGATGCACACAAGCACCCGTAGGAGTCAAACAACCTACTAGCCTTGTACTTGGCCAGTCTCACGGTCCTCCCATCAGGCAACTCATGCTTGAGCACCTTCTTGTCCCAGTCAAACTGGGGCTTGGCAACCTCAAGGTAGTACATTCCTAACAGCATGTCGAACGGTAAGTCGTCACTAACCAGGAACGAAATCTTGTGATTAAGTTCCCCTCCTCCATAGGATAAGGTGCACACTACATCCTTGACATAGTCTGACACTACCATGCGTTCCTTGTTGGCCAAAGTAGATGCTACATGTCTACTAAGGTGCTGTACTCGGTACTCTAGGCGCAGCCTTTCCAAACAGTCGCGACTTATGTAGTTTCGCGTGGAGTCGATGTTTACGAAGGCACCATATTTGCGGCCTCCTACAACAACTTCCACGACGAAGTGTTCCCCTCTAGGACCACTGCTTAATGCCACCCAAGATTCGCGAGGGTCCTTGCTTGACCACTCACTTTCAAAATCTTCTAAGGCTTCAGACACATCCAACGTACAGAGCATAGTTTGGTCTAGATGAGTCTGCGGGGTGACTAAAGAGTCATTAGCTATGGTCATCTCATGAAGTGGGGAGGGTATCTGGCCCACTTCACCATGAGTAGAAGCAACTAAAACTTCCATCGACCTCAAGTGTTTCCCGAGTTGGAAGCCTAGGAAGAAGGCACCCCTCCATTAGGGGGTATCTTCTGCGTGACCTTTGCGTTCTTGCACTTGTACTGGATGTGTCCGTATTCATCACAGTTGATGCAAACACCACGCACTCGGCGGTCCCGCCACACTTCCTGATCAAGACCTGCCTTGACCCTAAGTGATCTCGAACATGTCAGCCTCGCATCGTCAACTCTACCCTCATCGGCGTCTGACCCACTCATTAGTTAGGCAAACACTATCTACACTACAACCCCCTACTGGAGTCCTACCACAACATTTGTCTGACCGACACCTAATTTTCTAAAAATAAATGTGTCTGCCAGGTCCCCTACTTAACCGATCAAGTGGCAGCCTTACAACATTCACAAAAACTATAAACACAATCTAATTTTATCCAAATTAGTTCACTTACAAAAGCTTTGCATAGAACTGGATATGGTAGTATACTACAGTCCTAAACTAAGTTGTCTGTCAACCAACTAATCAAAAATAAAACTAAATTATGTTGCAAGTGTATGAACAGTGGATATGGTTGTGTTTGCAGTTGAGCACCAACTGGAACCTACCCTCCCCTCAATCCAACATACCGATGAGCATCAATGAGCAGCAGTGTCATAGGTGTGCAATGTCGGCCCACCCCTGTGCCCTAGGTGCATGCTTATGACCAGGCTTGCCCTTTCTTTATCCTCGCGTGCAATGAGCCGTACGTCCGACTGATCTGGCTGATCAAGAGGCCTATTTAAGGACTGCCCCCAAGGTCGCTTAGGAATTATTTAACGTCGCAATCAGGACAACGATCACAGCCAGTGGACAGATCGGAACCCCATCCAGAAATGTTTATAGACGGTCTGGGAGCGTCTGCATAAGCCTGTTCAGTCCGCACACCCCTCTATCAGCGCAGCAAAAGTGCCCTCATGGACAAAGCAGCCATCGCATGCATATACTAATCCCATTGGGTTGGCATGGTGACCGTGACCCATGTGCTTCGACCAGGGCCCTTCAGAGGCACCGCCCTTTCTCCTTCCAGATGCGCCACCAGGAAGATTGTCGTCTCTCAAGGTAGAGCGCTCACAACACCTCACCAAAAGAGAGGACTCTCAAGTTGGACTCACTTCCTCGTGGTAAGAAGAGATTGAGAGGGTAGATAAGGTAAGGGAACAACATACCTGGAGATAGCTGCCCCCAACTGCAGATTTCTCACCAATTGAGCTGAGTGTGCATTTGATGACCGGTCGTAGCCTCGGTACCACCCACAACGCAGTGCAGTGCCACCTCAGCCAAATGCCACATCAGCATGCTGTTATCACCAATCATACATTCCGCCGTCGCCACGACATCCCAAGCTGTACAGCCTTCCGGCGCACACCTCTCTACCCAGGTCGTGCGACGTGCGCCTAATATCGGCCTGACGTCACAAGAACCAACTGCGAAGAAGCATCGTCAATGCACCAAGTCTGTATAACGCCAGCGCACCAAGGTAAGCGGCGAATCGAACCAGATCCGATACCAAATTGCAAGGAACATGAATGTGGACGAAGCACAGAGATACCAATTGCAAAATCACACTGAAGTCCGAGTAGTCAAAGCATGAGCAGATAGCACATCGGAACCAAGATACCATACATTTGAGAACGATACAGCAAAAGTCATGAGTCAATGTCCAAGCCCACTAGGGCAACACCAACAACATAACCTGAAGTAGCTCTCTCTCATGAATGGCGCCAGGCGCCCTATCTACTCTACAGCCTGTACCTACAACTACAGCATGGAAGCAACCAGACAACTTGACGACCAGCGAGTGATGACGTCAACACCAAAGCCGACCTCCTCTCCACCAGGTACGTCTCTCTCTCTCTCTTCCCTCACTCTCCCTTGTTATCCCACACAGCGCCCTTCACCTCTCAAAGAACCACCTTCGCCCTCACCTCCTCCAGCGCCCTCATGCAGCCTGGCTATGGCTGCCAGCGCCCTGCGCCCAGGCTGCGCCCTACCGCTTGGCGCCAGCCTGCCTTCACTCAGCCTAGCGCAGCGCAGCACCTGCACTCGTAATGCAGCAGCGTGCCGGCTTTGCTCGCAATGGCCAAGATCCCTGCCCCCTCGCCCGCTCTGCCTATATGCCAGTATTGCATGTGGGCGGCCTCCCTTGAGCCTGCGCCTGGGCCCCAGTACCTGTACCCAGGCGGCCAGGCCCAATGCGGTTGGGGCCCACGTATTACAGTTGCGCCTCTTTCATCAAGGCCTGCGTCCAGATTCAGATAGTGGACCGGTTTTCCATTGGCATATTCGGCCTCTATGTCCAACATGCAATGTCGGCCTCACGTTTATGCACCCAGGGCCTAACCAATTCTGGGGCCCTGGTCCTTCTGCATTTGCAGAGATCTGGTACTCGGTGCACTCCAACCAACTGGCGTGCGGCAACTGTATGGACCCCACTTCGTGAAATGTTGAGAAAAAGGGGCTCTTGTTGATTTGCTGGCCCACCTTCACTTAGGGTGGGCACGAGGCTTGCTGGGGGCCTTTGTCAGAAACATATGCATGTCAGCAGGGCCCCGTTTTTTTTTTTTTTTTTTTGAGAACAACAGAACCTCTCGGTTCTGGCTCCTGCCATTCTGGGGAGCAACAGTCCGGTTCCTATTCCCCCGGCAAGTCAAGAATGATGCAAAATTTACCACGCACGCTCCTCCCCATTATGGTTGGGAGGCCCAAGTGGACGACATTGATTGCTTCCTTTTGGGAAGGATGTACCACCCCTTACCCCTGCCTAAGTTAGCCTGCATGAAGAATAAGCTGTGTTCTGCTAACTCTGATTGAAGAACATGTCTTGTAGAATGAGGCTTGACTAGCTTACTCCTCTCAGCTATTTGGCTGCCTGATCCGATTTAAGTTCTGGAGTCGCTAAGCTGCCTTGTTTACTGACTGGTGTCGGTTGCTTCAGACTTTTATTCCTAAAACCTTAAACCCTATTCTTTATCCTGAAAAAACCTGAGAAAACGCCTGCCAGCATTGATTGCTCAGGTGTGTTACTACCGTTGCTACCGTTGCTAAGAGCTAATTCTTCCCTCCCTCCTTTGCCCCCGCAGACCCCGTCCCAAATGTCCGTTACCTTCCTTCCCCACTTTCCAACCTTGTCCTGTTGGAATCAGAGCTGGATTCACTGCTGCTTGTAAAGGCTACTACTTCCCTTGCCTGAATTTATTCTGAATTTATTCTGCTCCATACCATTGCAGATCCACCATTGAGAGCCCATGAGGCGGGAAGGGGTCAGGGAATTTCGAGGTGGGGCTCAGCGGTATTGCAGGGTCTGTCCTAGTCCATTCCTTGAAACAAAGGGCGTAATCTCTTCTTGGTTTATCGTGACTGTGCTCCGGGGAAGCCTCTTCTTCCCATCGAATATAGGCTATCCAACCCCCTTGCTCAGACCCCAACCAGTCCACTGAGAATTGTTTAATAGCTTGGGATATGTCCTTTTTTGTGGGGAAACTATCTAATTGTGATTTCACCTTCAACCAATGTGCCCACAGTTCATCTTGGACATACTGTTTAACTGGGTGGGGATCCGGGCCGCCCGGCTGACGGGAGGAAGCCCGGGGGAGGTCCCGGGCRGCCTGGCTGGGCAGGGCACCCGGTTGGGGACTGGGGCCCCCCAGCGCAATGACCTGTTCGGGGGTTTCGGACCCCCGTTTCGCTGCTTTTGGCCTCCCGCAGGCCTACCGGGTCCGACCGGCCCAAAAAACCGACCCGTCGGGCCCGGTAGGCCTGCGGGATTTTGAAAAACTTTCTGACTGCTATCTGGCCATCGATCCRCCATGATCAACGGCCACAGAGCCGGTTGATCTAGGCGCCAAACATCCCCGCTTTCAAACATGGGATCAGCTGGCGTGGTCTGCCACTCGCCCCCCCCAGCACGATCGAAGTTCCTCCTGCGCCGTCCTGCTGCGCAGTCGCCAGTCGCCCGTCGACATCGCCATCGAGAAGTACTGCTGCAGCTGCTACGACGAAGGCGCCGACTGTCTCCTGCTGCTGCTACGACGACAGGCCCCACTGTCCTGCTGCTCCTGCTACGACGAAGGCCCCGACTGCCTTGCTGCTGCTGCTACAACGAAGACCCCGACGACGAAGGCGCCGTTCTTCTTCTTCTTCTTCTTCTTCTTCTTCTTCTTCTTCTTCTTCTTCTTCTTCTTCTTCTTCCTGTCGTGATCGTTTAGGGTTGTGTTGGACGGGCAGACGAAGGCCCTGCTGCTAGGGTAACTGTTGCAGGTAAC